GGCAGCAATTCATAGAGATCAGATCCCCCAAAACAACAATTTCATATTGGTCGAACGCACAACGGCATACACACAGGCTCCCTTATTTCATTATTGTTATTAATTACAGCGCAATAACCCAAATATCATCGCCACAAACATACTACAGTTGGAAGGAAATTAAACCTCAAAGATAGACAAACAAACATATTACAACTGACGCAGACGAACAGATTACAACAACATCGGTACATGATACTAGCAGACGTCAAAAGGAAGGATCAACTACTTCATTTTCGTTGCCGGCCAAAAACTACTTCATTTTCAGAATCACAAAGCCTCCGAACGCAGCCACGAAGACGATGGGCAGGAGGCCCAGCCACAGGATCGTCTTCCCGACGGCACGCCGTCCAACCACATCGCCCGACACCCAGAAGCCAGCCGACGCCTTGAGGAGCCCGAAGATCACCACTGCGACGAGGATGCCGTAGTACAGGAAGAAGGGTGCTCTGCCATGGTGGAGAAATATACCTCCCGGCGTTCTGGAGATGACGAGGCAGAGCGCTGCGGCTGCTTGGAGGACGCCACAGGAGATGAGCGCACCCGGCAGCATCTCGGCGTCGCGGCAGGCGCCGGAGATCAAGGCGGCGAGGTTGATCAAGGAGGCGAGGGAATCCATCGCACGTCTCTGTGTGCTGTGGAGCTATGAGCGAGCTTGGCTTGAGGTTTAGAGCTGGGTACATGTGGGGATTATATAAGGAGGAAGACACGCGACAAAGTGGAGAGAATTCAAACCCACTAGTATTATCTGACTTTGGCAGTCCTTGCCACAAGGCCCACAAGCCAGAACCGAAACCGAAAGAACCGAACCAAGCCATTTGGCTTCCCTTCCCAGGAGTAACACGGGATGCTGGGTACTCTGTGCTCCTCCTGTCGTGATCATTCGCGTACGTATGCAACCAAAACGACTGAGAAACTTTCGTGATCGCCCTGTCACATTCCTTCCTCGTTTTTTTTGCCGAATTCCTTCTTAGATTATTCTTTCGTGTGCCATGTTTTTTCTTTGAAAAGAAGAATACACCCCCGGCCTCTGCATCTGGGAGATGCATGCAACCATTTTATTAATTATTCACAAAAACCTTATAAAGTAATACACCAGTAAGCCTGAAGCCATCATCTTGGCAACACCCGTCGCTACTCCTATGCCCTTGATGTAGGGGTGCCGAATATCTGAGCTGAATACCCAACAGACATCACACCAAAGCCTAACATCTAAAGCCGGATGCCCCAGCCTAGCCACATACCGAAACTGTGTCACACACCGGTCCGACGCACTCTCATAAGCCGCCGCCACCATCTTCCACTGGTACATCTTCAGAGCAGTTACTGGCACACCAACCTTGTCAGGCCTGCCATCGACGCCACCACGGCACCAGACAGGGCTACCATCCTGCACGTATCCATCCGCCCGCGCCCGTCGCCGAAACTTCGCAGCGCCATGCCGTCGGGATCCGCCGTCGACCTTGCGGTAGATGGAATACCGCTCCTCCTCTAGTCCCCTCTAGCCAGCACTTGCTCCAAAACGATGCCCCCAGGAGGGCGAACGACACCAAAGGCGCCGTCATCGTCTGATCCGGGAGACCCAGATCTAGGGTTTTCTCCGGAGCATCCCGAGCCTGATGACGCAAACTGCAACGACGATGCCTCAACAAGGGAACGACATCGGGACGCCGTCATCGTCTGCCATGACCGACGTCAACGTGATTTTCATCGACAGTCGCGCCACCAGTCCGTACGCCGCTGGCATCGCTAGTCCCTTCCACCTGAGCAAACTCCAAAGACGATGCCCTCAAGAGGGACTACGATACAAAAGCACCGTCATCGCTCGATCCCAATGAGATCTAGGATTTCCCCCGGAGTTGCCCTCGGTGTCAAGGACCCAGACCAGGGTTGAATCCCGGTGTAATCGGAAGAACCCGTCGAGATCCGCCCGGTAGTCCTTTGCGAGGCACTGCTATGCATAAATAATATATATGAACTAAAATATTACACTTAAATTGCTCTTCCATTATCTGGAAAAACACTGCACCTAAATTGTAGACCTATGAGTGCAATATTAGAAACTGGCCTGACTTTATTGATTTATTAAACTAAACAAATCACATGTTGTAAGCATAAGAAAATCTTAAGCCCCATATATCGAACATCGTGTAACAAGATAAACTAAGAGTTATTACCTAAAAAATTCAGACATATGCACATCCCAAGAGAGCAAGAACATGAATATATTTTTTTCAATAAAGAAATGCCACCTAACAAGAATAGAGCGTCCACAGTTGTATACATATGCAGTCGTAGGCTTGTAGATTAAGTTTCATTCTTATTTGAGGAGAAGGAAGTTTCATTCATTTACTTGGAGGCATTCAACGACAACGACCTGGCAGTGTCGGAGGCTGGAACCAGAACCGAACCGAATGAAACCAAAGCCGATGATGTGCTTGGGAATTGTTTCTGGTTATGGCGCTTGCCAAAGATGATTGGTAGAAAGCGTGCCACCTGAGATACTACAAAAGTCAACAACATCTTCACGCTGTGGTGTACTGGTGTAATAGTAAGTTATGTAGATAGATATATAGAAATGGTGCAACTAGATTTTTTTTTTGTTTAGGGGTGTTGTCACGCTGTGGATCCGCCAGGCTGGGCCTGACCGTCAACATCACTCCATGTTGCGAAACCATAAACCACCGTACCCGAACACATAAGGTTCCGGTTTTCCAACGTACGTAGAAGTGGACTTGTGTAAACTGAATTGTAATTCCCTGGATCCTTATTAATACAAGTCTTACTCG